CCCTAGAGAACGGAATTTTGGGGACGTCGGGCATGTTTTTCCATCAAATTGACTATATTTTGAAACTTTTGATTTTAATGGTGTGTCAAATGTTCGCAATAAAAATAATTAATATCGGGTTTTGCGGGGTGAATGGGATATATGCAGACAATTGTAAAGCCAAAGTTTGGACTTTGTCCTCATATTAAAGTACAGCTCTTTCTTCATTATTTTCAAAATTTTAGATGCATTCTGTGGGTCCTTGTACGGTATGACATATTTATGCGGACAATTTTGTACATAGGTCTATGCTATTTGCGTTCTTTTAAGGTTTAGAACCTTTTCTAGCTGAAGTGGCTGTAATTTAAAAATATGTTTGCCGAAATTTTTCAATGTACGCCCATCTTTTGACATAACCCCATTATAAAGTGGGAAGCGACCCATTTTCGGTACTCCGATGTGGCTATAATTTGGCATTCCGGATTTCCGTTGAATAAAAAACTCCTTTCGAGAAAGTTACCGATTTAGGTTCATGATTTTTACAACGCACTCATACAAAGACCCTTTCATATGGTTTTCATTTTACCAAATAAACAACCTACTAGCAGGCGATGCTATAGTAACCTTATGAAGTACCCGACCATGTTTTGAGAATATATTAACACACCCCCTTTGTGCAGGGTATAAAAAGTTCTGACCGGCAGTACTTTAAGACTTTTTAACTTGTTTATAAATGTACTGACACTGTTTTAACATTGCAAAATCAAACTCATAGCATGAAACCTAGGGACAATAAATGCGTCAATGTGAAATCGAAATAATAACCAACATTTTAACTAATTCTTTAAAAAAAATAAAAGTGCTAAAAAATGTGCTAAGTGCTAGATCAGTTTTTTTTTTGGTGCTAAACGAGTTTGAAAAGTGCTAAATCTAGCACTAAGTGCTAAATTGGTAACACTGCCCATATATATTCTGAATAAAAGTAAAATGCTATGTAAAATTCTGACAATCTATGGAACAAATCTTTCCGCGAGAAATTTGTTAATATACGCCAGTATTTTAATGTAGCCCCCTGGAGAGACAAACTGACTGACATTCGCCTTAATTTAATTGGGGAAACCGGATCTATCCTTGTCAGGCAAGAGAGTATCCTGACGTACCCTTGTTATGATTCGATCTTGACGGATGGGAATGACGCTATGGATACCACTTAGGTCACAATGGTGATTCACGTGACTCCTCCATCTAAAGAATGATGCTGATGATCTGCATATTTAAGCAATGGATGATTCAGCAACGCAGTCAGCCATCAAATATATCCAAGCCAATATAGCCCTATATTTGTATACAATCTCCTTTTTATGGTCATTTTATAAAAAAAACAGTAAGGAAAGTAGTAAAGTCGGACGGGGCCGACTATATGATACCCTTCACCACTTTGGGTATATTCTACATATGTATCCAACAGACATAGCTTGTTATTATTATAGACGTAATTCAGTATGCTATGCTAAATTTCGTGCAAATCGAAAGATATATAGGGTCTTTGATGCACCAATTACCTTAAATAATATATATATATATATATATATATCGGAGGAAGATATATACGGGAGCTATATCTAAATCTGAACCGATTTTCACGAAACTTTGCACACATCATTCTAGACTTAATTCAGTACGAAAGGTATATAGGGACTTTGGTACAACATTTACCTTAAATCGGAGGAAGATATATACGGGAGCTATATCTAAATCTGAACCGATTTTCACGAAACTTTTCACACCTCATTCTAGACATAATTCAGTACGCTATGCCAAATTTCGTGCAAATCGAAAGATATATAAGGACTTTGGTACACCATTTACCTTAAATCGGAGGAAGATATATACGGGAGCTATATCTAAATCTGAACCGATTTTCACGAAACTTTGCACACATCTTTCTAGACTTAATTCAGTGCGCTATGCAAAATTTCGTACATATCGAAAGATATATAGGGACTTTGGTACGCCATTTACCAAAAATCGGGCGAAACTATATATGGGAGCTATATCTAAATCTGAACCGATTTTCACGAAACTTGGCACACATCTTTCGTGGCTCAATTCTGTGCGCTATGCCAAATTTCGTGCAAATCGAAAGATTTTGAGGGTCTAAAGCCCGTAAATCAGGCAAAAATATATATGGGAGCTATATCTAAATCTGAACCGATTTTTCCCAATTTCAATAGGGTTCGTCCTTGGGCCAAACAAATGAGCTGTGCCAAATTTCATCCAAATCGGATCATAAATGCGACCTGTACTTTGTTTACAATTTAGCATGGACAGACGGACGGACGGACGGACATGCATAAATCGACTCAGAAAGTGATTCTATGCATATTCTCAAAAGGAACCATGGGTCTATCTCGATTATTTTTGCCTGTTACAAACATATGCACAAAGACATAATACCCTGTACCACAGTGTGGTGAAGGGTATAAAAATTAAGGTTACGGACTTCATACAATCGAACGGACTTGTAGGCATTATAATTCTACTGATTAAATTTAGAATCGCAGCTTAATTGTTAAACATGTGACACTGGCTGTCTTTTATTATTTTAGTCGAAATAAAAACTATAACTTTTAATCTGGCGATCCACCTATATTAATGAGGTCCATTCGATTTCAACGTCTAGGTGGTTTGGCAGATTCCCAACATATGTTTCAAACAATTTGCATTCGATTTCAAAGTACCCTGTGCGCACGATATCTCTCGAAGCATATAACCAAATTGCATCAAATTTCCTATCAATCATAGATCCATTTCAAAGATGAAGGTCCAATCCTTGTGGTACCTCCCTACACATTTTCAAAACACTCTCACATGGAATGGAAGCAGGATCGGATTTCATCAGAACTACGAACATTGTAAATGTTTTTCCAAACCTATATTAAGTCAGAAAAAATATTGAAGGGTCCTATTTCAAATCCTTAAAATATAACTAATTTCGGTGAACAGAACAATATCTCATATCGGTGGTGTTTATTTTTTAAATATTTAAATTTACAATGAAAAATCTATTGGCTGTGCAAGTATGTTGTGTTACCATTGCCGTTGCATACTCGTACATATGTTTTTATAGGTGATGTTGTGTTTATCCCAAACAAAAAAAAAAACATACATACATATGTGGCTGATGCTTCTAATTAAATAATTCGCAGAAATTCGAATTAATTGCATGAAGATACTGAGCAACGTTTACTTATCCCTTCATTTGGCAACAAAACAAAAAAATCTGCAACAACAACAACAAAAAATGAAATACAATCACAACAACAACACAACAGCAATACACCATCCATAAAAAGAGCACATTGCACAATTCAAGGATGTGTTAAAGTCTTATCCGACCCACGATAATTCACCGATTCTGTTGCCCAGGGACAGACAGTGAGTATGGATGGATGATACACTTGCCAAGGCAATGAGGAGGTAGGCAGGCAGACAAGCAAACACTTGGCCACAGCAATTCCTAACCAGCTAGTTGGGTATGATTTTGCACCATGTGGAACACTACAACCAGCCAGCAAGCCAACTACTCAGCCGAACCGTTGCAGCCATGGAGCAAAGGTGGTACATTGTTGCGTGCTGCTGCTCATGTTATGCACAAAAGATTAAACGAGTATTTACGATGCAACGACATGGAAAATGTTGTTGCTACACAACATTTCATCCCAAACGAAAATACAGAACAGAACACAGCCAGGCGAAGTTGGAAAACAACTTACCAGCCAGCCAGTCAGCCAACCAACTAGCTTGCTAGCTAAGCAAAACGCTCGAAACTCCAAACAGCAGAAGAGTTAAAAGGTGTAGACATTTGCATATTTCCCTTGCAAGCGTTTCGATGTGATGTCGATGAGGTTGTTGTTGTTGTTGTTCCTGCTGCTGCAGATGATGGCGATGGTGATACTGATTTGGTGAACAGCAATATTTTTGGGTTTTCCACCTCATCGAGTTGGGCGCAACAAAATATGTTGCATTATTGGCAAAAAGTGAATTATAGTTCTCTAATGACCAAGAGGCCAAGAATTATAACAAGGATATTCGAAGTGTCTTAGAAAGGAAATTTTCGGTGGAAGGAAGGAAATTGAGAAAAATCCACGCCTTGTTTTGGTCCTTGAAAAAATATTCTTTAAAAAATCCACGCCTTGTTTTGGTCCTTGAAAAAATATTCTTTAAAAAATCCACGCCTTGTTTTGGTCCTTGAAAAAATATTCTTTAAAAAATCCACGCCTTGTTTTTAGGTCTCCGAAAAAATATTCTTTAAAAAATCCACGCCTTGTTTTTAGGTCTCCGAAAAAATATTCTTTAAAAAATCCACGCCTTGTTTTTAGGTCTCTAAAAAAATATTCTTTAAAAAATCCACGCCTTGTTTTTAGGTCTCCGAAAAAATATTCTTTAAAAAAGCCACGCCTTGTTTTTAGGTCTCCGAAAAAATATTCTTTAAAAAAGCCACGCCTTGTTTTTAGGTCTCCGAAAAAATATTCTTTAAAAAAGCCACGCCTTGTTTTTAGGTCTCCGAAAAAATATTCTTTAAAAAATCCACGCCTTGTTTTTAGGTCTCCGAAAAAATATTCTTTAAAAAATCCACGCCTTGTTTTTAGGTCTCCGAAAAAATATTCTTTAAAAAATCCACGCCTTGTTTTTAGGTCTCCGAAAAAATATTCTTTAAAAAATCCACGCCTTGTTTAGGTCTCCGAAAAAATATTCTTTAACAAATCCACGCCTTGTTTTGGTCCCCCAAAAAATATTTTTTTTTTATAAAATACACTCGAATAAATATTTTTAGAAATTACCCTTGAAAAAATATTTTTTTTAAATCCACGATGTTGTGAATATTTTTTATTGTTGTTGTTAAAAAATATTTTTTGTTGTTGTTATAGTATAAGTAATATTATTTGGCATTCTTGACACTTAAAAATAATTAGAAATTTGATTTCGACTTAAAAATTAGATGTGATCGTAATGGGTATCTACAAAACCGAACTATTATGCACTAAGGGCTGTTCGGCCTCATGGTCATGCTGAAAGAATCTTCGACGGCAGCATTGTTCCTCTTGTAGAATACGAAAAAATTGCAATAACAATATGATCAGAACCAATAGCAGGGTAATGAGAGCCAACACATCACGCAGGGTCCAATAGGGATGAATGCCGGAGACACTACCAATCAGCTGTTGCTTTTCATAATGCTCAAAGGGTGTGGGAGGAGGCATCTCATGAGAATTAAGATAATTGTCCATATCATACCCTGGCATGTGTCTTCTAACTGTGATATTTTGTTGTTGTAGTTGTAGAATTAACTCCCCCTGATATTGTTCCTCCCAATCGTTACCATCTAAGGTGATTTGTTGTAAGGCGGGATGTTGTTGCTTGAGTTGCGTACAATTGAAATCCACCAAATGATTATTATCCAAATAGAGTTGCCGGAGACCTTTAAGGGGCCTAAGAACTCCTGTGGGTAATTGCAGCAACTGATTGTGTGACAAATCAAGGCTACGAAGTTCGGATAGCATTAAAAATTGATTTGCGGACAACTGCCTCAAACGATTGTGAGCCAAATTGAGATATTCCAAATTTGGTAAATGTAAATAAATTGCCGAGGATTTGCGGGATATTAAACCGCCTACATGATTATGTGATATATCCAGAGAACGTAAATTCACCATACCCTGGAAATCATCTAGCGCTTCAAAATAATTGCCTTGCAGCTGTATGTCTAGGACCTCTAGTTTGTTGCCGATTTTTATGCCACTCAAAGAGTTATTGGCAGCCAAGAGGCGTAGAACTCCACCATTGACGGTACAGGTCTTGAGGCCACTATTTGAGATTTGTAATAAATCCACCGATTGTAGATATAAATCCTCGAGAAGGCTATTGCTTAAATCCAATATTTTTAAATGTTTGAAATGGGCCAGAGAATTTGGTTCGTAAACGGAGAATTTATTATCACTTAAATTCAGCGTGCTTAACTTCGGATTTTTGCTGAAGGTATTCCCATCAATGGCCTCCAAATTGTTGTGACTCAAATCCAAATATTCCAAATTGGGCAGCGGTTCAAACACTCCACCCTGTAAGCTGATCACATTGTTATAGGAAATATCCAAAAAATTGAGATTCTGCAAACCGCCAAAGGCTTGACGATTTAAAATGTGTATACGATTCGAGCGTAACTGTAATTCCTCTAGGGAGCCAGCCAAAGGCTGGAAGACATTTTTCGCCAGGGTGAAGATGGAATTCTCCTTAAGGGCCAAAATCTTTAAACGATGAATTCCACTGAAATCTTTTTCGTTGAGGCTATTTATACCACAGTTGAGCAGGAGCAGCTTTTCCAGATTCGGCATAACATCTAATAGCTGGGAGGATGGTATACGTCTTAGGGCAGAATTTTGTATCACCAAGACCTGTAGGGCCGGCATGGATTGGCTATCATTTAGTTTCAAAGAATCTTCATAGGAATCGATTAAATTCTCCAGCAAACATGATGTGGTACTTGTGGTGGGACAGCTTCTTTGTAAATCCACAACTGTGGCCCCGACTTTGTCATTCTCCGACAGCGACACAACAACAACAACGATAACATCCAGAGCAGCAAACATCTAGCCGGCATTTTCCTCAGTCTTATCTTTATTTAATATTTTTTTTTTATGTGGATGATCGGGTTCTTTGTTTGTTGTTGTTTTTATTTTTTTTTATTATTATTATTATTTTTTTTTTTTTTGAATAACGCGAACAAAGCTGCCCTGTGGTTTTGCCACCACAACAAATCGTATTGAACTGAAATATAAATATTAAAATTTTGTTTTTGGTTCGGAATATCAACAATTAGCGAGGCGAGTTAGTCACTGATTGACACTTCTTCTTCTTTGTGCTCTGAGTAATGTCATCGGGCTGCTTTATTTCTGCATGCTCTCCAAAGCTGATAAGAAAAGTTTTGTTTTTTTATGGGAAATAAATAAATGCAGTTACATTGTGTCACACACATACACTCGAAGAAAAATGTTTATAAAACAAAAATTTTAATACGTGGAAATTTTTCGGCAAAAATTCCAAAATAACTATTTTTTTCGAGTGTATTTTTTTTTGAAAATATTTCTTCGAGTGTATTTTGTTCTTTAACATATTTTCTCGAGTGTATTTTTGAAAAATATTTCTTCGAGTGTATTTTGTTCTTCAACATATTGTCTCGAGTGTATTTTTGAAAAATATTTCTTCGAGTGTATTTTGTTCTTTAACATATTTTCTCGAGTGTATTTTTGAAAAATATTTCTTCGAGTGTATTTTGTTCTTCAACATATTTTCACGAGTGTATTTTTGAAAAATATTTCTTCGAGTGTATTTTGTTCTTTAACATATTTTCTCGAGTGTATTTTTGAAAATATTTTTTTTGAGTGTATTCAAAAAAAAATTCAAGGGTCTACCAAAGGCGCGGATTTTTTAAAAAATATTTTTTCAAGGGTCTAACAAAGGCGTGGATTTTTTTTAAAGAATATTTTTTCAAAGGTCTACCAAAGGCGTGGATTTTTTAAAGAATATTTTTTCAAAGGGTCCACCAAAGGTGTGGATTTTTTAAAGAAGACTTTTTTCAAGGGTTTACCAAAGGTGTGGATTTTTTTAAAGAATATTTTTTCAAGGGTCTACCAAAGGCGTGGATTTTTTAAAGAATATTTTTTCAAGGGTCTACCAAAGGCGTGGATTTTTTAAAGAATATTTTTTCAAGGGTCTACCAAAGGCGTGGATTTTTTAAAGAATATTTTTTCAAGGGTCTACCAAAGGCGTGGATTTTTTTTAAAGAATATTTTTTTCAAAGGTCTACCAAAGGTGTGGATTTTTTAAAGAATATTTTTTTCAAGGGTCTACCAAAGGCGTAGATTTTTTAAAGAATATTTTTTCAGGGGTCTACCAAAGGCGTGGATTTTTTAAAGAATATTTTTCAAGGGTCTACCAAAGGCGTGGATTTTTTAAAGAATATTTTTCAAGGGTCTACCAAAGGCGAGGATTTTTTAAAGAATATTTTTCAAGGGTCTACCAAAGGCGTGGATTTTTTAAAGAATATTTTACCTAACATTTACTTCGCTGTCCCACAACAGGTGACCAAGCATTCAATCGAATGCCAATAAAAATCGTTTTGTCAATGCCTTGCCACAATCGATTGTGTGTGTCTGTCTGCCGCTTTTGTCTTTCTTGCTCTCTGGCCTTACAGAAGATCGTGAGTTAAAATTCAGAGGCGTTGTTGATATCACACGCCCCCTGCAACATATTAAACATGCATCCATGAGTGTTAAAAATAAATCTTCATTTTGAAAATAAAAACATATTTCACACAATTCGGGTTTTTTTCGGTGAAGACTGCAGATGCAGGTTATCCTTTGGCGGTTAGCTGCACAGCTTCAGTTGGAGGCGGGTGGAGAATATATGTTTCGAAGAGTCGTAATTTCTTTATGATTACGATTGCAAACAGAAAACGCATTTTAGTGCATAGTTAGGAAATTGTGCACAGTGGAATGAAATTTCTTTAATGAAATCATTTTTATGAAAGAAAAATTTCAATAGAATTTTTTATGAAAATAAAATTTCAATAAAATTTTCTATGAAACTTCAAATTTCAATGAAATTTTCTAGGAAACTAAAATTTCGATGAAATTTTCTAGGAAACTAAAATTTCTATGAAACTGAAATTTCAATGACATTTTTTTGAAACCAAAATTTCAAAGAAATTTTCTATGAAACTAAAATTTCAATAAAAATTTCTATTTCAATAAAATTTCAATGGAATTTTCTATGAAACTAAAATTTTTATTGAATTTTCTAAGAAACTAAAATTTCAATGAAATTTTCTATGAAACTAAAATTTCAATGAAATCTTCTATGAAACTAAAATTTCAAAAACATTTTATATGAAAGAAAAATAGCAATGAAATTTTCTAGGAAACTAAAATTTCAATGAAATTGTCTATGAAACTAAAATTTCAATGAAATTTTCTATGAAACTAAAATGTCAATGAAATTTTGCTATGAATCTAAAATTTCAATGAGGTTCTCTATGAAACTAAAATTTCAATGAAATTCTCTACGAAACTAAAACTTCATGAAATTTTCCATAAAAATAAAATATCAATGAAATTTTCTATGAAACTAAAATTTCAATGAAAATTTCTTTGAAACTAAAATTTCAATGACATTTTTTATGAAACTAAAATTTCAATGAAATTTTCTATGAAACTAAAATTTCAATGAAATGTTCTATGAAACTAAATTTTCAATGAAATATCCTATGAAACTGAAATTTCAATGAAATTTTCTATAAAAATAAAATTTCAATGAAATTTTCCATACAAATAAAATATCAATGAAATTTTCTATGAAACTAAAATTTCAATGAAAATTTCTTTGAAACTAAAATTTCAATGACATTTTTTATGAAACTAAAATGTATATGAAACTAAAATTTCAATGACATTTTCTATGAAAATAAAATTTCAAGGACTTTTTATATGAAAAATTTTCTATGAAACTAAAATTTCAGGGACAAGGACGAAAGAAAAATTGCAATGCAATTTTATGAAACTAAAAATTCAAAATCCATTCAAATTTTCAATGAAAAAATTCATAGAATTTCTTGCCTCAAGTCCATTGTGCACAATCACATTTGTCATTCGCACAGTTCGACAATTTTTCATCTCTGCTATTTCTTTATTGGTAGGGCACGTTATGCCTTTGGTCATATTTGCGACTAGAATAGTTTCGACCAAAACACTTGAGAACGATTGTTCAAAAAAAGCCCCAGCGTCGTCTGTTTGTCTGAGCTGTCCTCCAAACAAAGCTTCAGCCGTAGCAACGCACGATCGACCGCATAACCTCGTTCCACTCGTTTATCCACATCAAAAGGAAACAAGAGAGGTGATTGCAATGTATTCCGATTCCGATGCACTGCCACACTATTGATTGGAAATTGGTTGGGGGTGGGTGTTTTTGCAGAACATCATACCTACCAGACAACCGATCAACCTCCTCCTCCTGTCGATCGCAACGCGAGGCCATCAATAGGTATTTGCCAGCGTGTTCAATTAGACTTGCGTCGAGACGTTGTTGCATTTATGAATTAGTGTGTGATTTCCAAGCGATTCTTCTCCTGGAGAGAAGGGGAGTTGCCACATGGGTTGTACTAAAGTGTAAATTTATGTTTTTTACGTTTCATTTTATGAGATTTTATCGTGCGCAATCGAGGTATGAGAAAACAAATGTTTTTTACACCTTAGTGGACGGGACCAATGCCATGCTGTCCTCCCTCCCCCACGTTGTATTAATTGATCAAATTGAAGTGAGAATTTTTTTACTATAAAATTAAAAAAATATATGAAGGATTGGAAAGTTTTTTAAGGAATATTTTTCAAGGTCTAAAAAAGACTTAGATTTTTTAAAAATTATTTTTATTTCAAGGTCTAAAAAGGACTCGGATTTTTAAAGAATATTTTTTTGATGGGCAATTAGAGACGTGGATTTTTTAAAGAATATTTTTTGAAGGCGTGGATTTTTTAAAGAAGACTTTTTTCGAGGGCTATAAGAGGCGTAGATTTTTTAAAGAATATTTTTTTTCGAGGGCTATAGAGGCGTGGATTTTTTAAAGAATATTTTTTTCGAGGGCTATTAGAGGCGTGAATTTTTTAAAGAATATTTTTTCGAGGGCTATTAGAGGCGTGAATTTTTTAAAGAATATTTTCTTCGAGGGCTATTAGGGGCGTGGGTTTTTTAAAGAAGACTTTTTTCAAGGGCTATCCAAGGCGCGGATTTTTTAAAGAATATTTTTTTCGAGGGCTATTAGAGGCGTGCATATTTTAAAGAATATTTTTTTCGAGGGCTATCCAAGGCGCGGATTTTTTAAAGAATATTTTTTTCGAGGGCTATTAGAGGCGTGCATTTTTTAAAGAATATTTTTTTCGAGGGCTATTAGTGGCGTGGATTTTTTAAAGAAGACTTTTTTCAAGGGCTGTCCAAGGCGTGGATTTTTTAAAGAAGACTTTTTTCAAGGGCTGTCCAAGGCGTGGATTTTTTAAAGAAGACTTTTTTCAAGGGCTGTCCAAGGCGTGGATTTTTTAAAGAATATTTTTTTCGAGGGCTATTAGAGGCGTGGATTTTTTAAAGAATATTTTTTTCGAGGGCTATTAGAGGCGTGGATTTTTTAAAGAATATTTTTTTCGAGGGCTATTAGAGGCGTGGATTTTTTAAAGAATATTTTTTTCGAGGGCTATTAGAGGCGTGGATTTTTTAAAGAATATTTTTTTCGAGGGCTATCCAAGGCGTGGATTTTTTAAAGAATATTTTTTTCAAGGCCTATCCAAGGCGTGGATTTTTTTCAAGGCCTATCCAAGGCGTGGATTTTTTAAAGAATATTTTTTTCAAGGCCTATCCAAGGCGTGGATTTTTTAAAGAATATTTTTTTCAAGGCCTATCCAAGGCGTGGATTTTTTAAAGAATATTTTTTTCAAGGCCTATCCAAGGCGTGGATTTTTTAAAGAATATTTTTTTCAAGGCCTATCCAAGGCGTGGATTTTTTAAAGAATATTTTTTTCAAGGCCTATCCAAGGCGTGGATTTTTTAA